ATATTGCACAGATGTTGTTAGAGTAAAAAAAAAAATGCAGATTATCTTGGACAAAAGTGTATAGATGATATTGGACTGGAGATGTTTTTGGACAGGCGTAGTAATCTTTTACCTGTTGTTGTACTCTTTATAGGAAAATGTCTTAGTATCTTCAATTGCATATTGTTTATTGGGCTTTCCCTAGCAAAAGGCTAATATAATTTTTTTTTTTGGTTTTGGAATAAAAAAATAATGCTAGGTTTAATACCCATTAAATTGAAAAAAGAAAGGTTTTAAAATATTTTTAGATATTTTTTTTAGAACTTTTTCAGTTTTAAAATCTTATATAATAGAATCTTAATAATTATAATAGAATCTTAAATCTTATAGATTATTTAATTTTTTTAGAACTTTTTCTTATTTTGTAATGCGGTTATTTTTGTTATTTAGAAGAATTCAAAACACAAGGATATTACTGGAAGACTTCAAAACATAAAGATATTATTTAGTATTGCATGGCTTCTATCTTCTCAATTGATACATAAATGATTTTTTAAAGACAGTTCTGCTTTATATGTGTTATAGTTATTTAATACTTGCCAATAATCCAAAAATTATTTTGCAAAATGGTTTATGGATCGTTGACATGTTAATGTGAAAGTTTCAATCTTCAATTTTGGAGAAAGATTCGTCTTAAATCAAAAGATTATAATATGCTTGGCTATTTAGTTCAACAATTTTTAATGCTGATGATTGAGTGGTAAAAAACTTATTTATATTTATCAAAGTTGTTCGCTTTTGTTAAGAAATATGTTATGAATTATTTTTTTGATGAACTAACTAAAGCAGTTTTATATATGCATTTGTATTACTTAGCTTGAATATTTAATTATTTTTAGTTAATTAGATTAGTTAGTAATAATCTTTATTATTTTATTTATTTGATGTTCTGTATACTGCTATGCAGTTTTTAAACCACGTTAATAATAAATAGTTTTTAATACATAAATTACTGCCGTCTATAGGGTAATTTTATTAGAGTATTTCTTTAAGAATTTTATATAAATATTTTGTTTATTCTATGTATATAATCGTCATTGTCTTTGTTACTATCAAAAGAGATTGGTTGCAAAGTCTAACAGTATAGTAGATTGAGTTAACATGCGTATTATCCCAACTAGCACAATACGTTGGGTCATCGTTGTTTTGCAAGTATACAACGTTAACCCAACGTGGTGTGCTAGCTGGAATCCCTAGAACACGTTTCAAAGAACTTTTTTTGCGAAAAACCTAATAATATTGTTTTTAAATATCTTTTCAAATTTTAAACAAATTGGGTTTAATGAATTTAAACGACTTGAAGAAAAAAAAAGAGAGAAAACAAAATGTAAAGTTTTGAATCAAAATTTTTTTTGGAACAGCTTCTAGATTTCAACTTTTGTACACGTGTGAAAGAAAAAAACTCTAGTTTCTATCAACTTTAATGGATTAATAGTATATAAAAGAAGTTCTATCAGTTAGTATAAAAATAACATAGATTAAAGCACTTCTTGTGTCATTAAACACATGATTTGGTAGAAAAATACGTATTCCCTACATATAAAATTATTCAGTTTTTTCTTTCTCCTAATTAATTTGCGAAAATAAAGTTACATCGTTTTTGCACCCAAGTCTTTAGTTGTTTGATAACTTTATTTTTTATTTCCTTATGCTTAAATTTTTACCCCACAGTATTTCTTAAAAATACCAGCAACAACAAAAAAATTTTGAAAGAATTTTTATAAATTAAACTTCTTGTTCCTCATCTTAAAAAAACGACTCTTCGAACAAATGACATCCTTTGCCCTCTTTTTATCCAGGTGCATGCTTTAGTGTATTTGCAATCACAATTTGACAGTCTTTTTTGGTGTAATAATCGACTAAACAGTCTTAAATATAAAATATATACGTAATATGAGAAAAAAAAATTAACAATAAAAATCATAATAATAAAAAGCCATAACAATAACCTTATAAGTGACTCATAGGATAAGAAACACTAAAAATCAAAACTTTGCTTTTTATTTTTTTAATCTTATTTAAAATTTATTCTAGATTCAGAAAGTATATACATTTATGTATATTTTATGTCAATATTTTATGTAAAATTCATTTTTTAGATGTACAGACTTTTAAGAATCTATAAGCAACAACTTTTTTTTTGAACTAAAACTTTAGCCAACACACCAGAGTTCAAAAATAGGTTTCTGGAATAAAATGATATTACCCCGGAAGTATCAATGGATTTAGCACACTTGATAAGCAATTAAAACTTATTAATTTTGTAACTAGTATCCAGTATTACAAAATGGTTAATTGTTCTTCTACCTTGCTACATAACTTTGGATGTTTCTTTAAGGATGATTAAAGTCAAAGCATTAGTTACAGCATTAGGATGAATATTACAATTTTTACACTTGTTCAATTAAACTAGTTGGTTTCATTTTGCAATGACTTTTTATCAACTCATTTAAATAAACAAAATTTTCAGAAACAAAAAATTAATAATTTATGAGTGAAGAAGCATAGTAAGTGATGATGGGTAGTAACATCAGTTGTCTGAAAGATCTCTTGAACTTTGAAAGTCTAGAACTTCAAATAAAAAAACGGAAAGAAATTCAAGTGTGATATAGTCATATGATTATAATCATAAAAATATAAGTTATATATCATAAAAACATTAAAAAACAAAACAAAAATTTTTATTTAAAGAAAAAATAAATTCCTGATTGCACTGATAAAGTTAGAGCAGTTGCAAATGAAGTGTGAAAGAATTGGTTGCAAATTTAGAACCATTAATTCAATTTTTATTCAGACAGTCCAAAAATGGCACCGAAAATGCAAAAGATTTGATTTTTTTTTTTTTCATAGATTACCTAGTGTTGCCAGATGTCCAGCTTTTATAGAGAACACATTAAAAATCATTATTTTTAAAGTTCGATCCTTAAAATATATGATATTAGCAACCTAAATCCCATGAAACTTTTGAGATCATATAAATTTAAACCTAAAACGCATATTTTTGAACTGTGGCACTAAACTATTTTCTTAATTCAAAAACAATAGCTAAAAAATTTATATATATATATACATAAATGTATACATATATATATATATATATATATATATATATATATATATATATATATATATATATATATATATATATATATATATATATATATATATATATATATATATACATAACACAAGTTAAATCTAACACGCTTTAACTTGATACTAATCATTAAATCAAATCATTAAATAAATTAACAAATAAAGTTATAATAATTATAACTTACTAGCTAAATACTAACTTATAATAATTATCTTGAAATTAACTTTAAAATTAACTTAAAACTAACATTGTTATATATACACTTTTGATATATAAATGTAGAATGACCTGTAGCATAGTTTTTAAAGCCTTGCGTGAACTGCACTTCTTGTACAAAATTAATTTAGTAATAAGAAACACTCTGGAAAACAGTCTGGAAACACAACCTGTTATCAATAGATTTTTAATTTTTATGTCAAAAATCTACTTTGCATTAAGGTAATTAAGCTAATATGGAAAGGCAATTATTTTGAAGTTTGCTCTGACTATTGATTTACACAAGATATAAACTGTCAACAGATTGATTGTTTTATGTAATGAAGATAATGAACGTTTTTAAAAACATGGTTGAAACTGAAAAATAAGTATTTACAAATTGACTTTATTTTCACAAGAAAGAGACAAATTCAAAGTCAAGGCTTGAATTTGAACTTTTCTATTTCTGTCAAATCAATATGTTGACAGTTTTGTATTTTGTGTTAATAAATGGTCATAGCATAGACATACAATAGCTTATGTATTATTATTTTTTTGTACCCAAAAATGTTGCTCTTTGACTCAAGTCAAGCTTGTTGTCACAGGTTGACATTTTTATTTTAAAACGAATTTGTGCAATTAAAAAAAAAGTTAGAATTACATCCACTGGAAACTTCAAGACATTTCACAACAATGGAACGAAGAAATACATATGCAATATTGATTGGAGAAAGCTTAAAAAACTTTTAAAAGAAAAACTTTTTTATCTGAAAAATATTTTCACAGGCAGTTGAAACATTTTAGAGATTATTTCGAAACTATTTGAAATGATCTCTGTAAATTACAGAGATTACATTACCGTGTAATGAAATTATTTCTGAAATGAGTGGGTCAGAAGCCAAGGGGTACAAGTGACATTTTCATAGTTTTGAGATACAGCTGTTTAAAGTTAAAGTATTTTTGTTAAATATACTCAGCTGTTGTTATGTTTTTCCAGTAGAAAGCAGCACAGGGCAGAGATTCACTTGTATCTCTTGGCCACCAACAATTTTGTTTGCTTCTTCTATCAAATTCTATACTTAACTTAATTTTGGTAAAATTGTCACTTGTACCCCTTGGCCCACTCAAATGTTTTAAATAAATTTTTTCCGAAATGCTATTATCAATATAGGTTAAAATAAAAAATTATCAATGTTTTAAAATTATATTTTTTTGACATAAAAATAAATAAATACTTAACACAGCTTTGTAAAAGTGTTTGGACAAAAAAGTTCTGGCAATTAATAAAGTACTAAAGTTTAGTAAAGTTACAAATAGTTACTAAATTATTGTTGTTGCTCACATAAAAACTGAATTGTAAGCTTAACTATATTAAACTCATGCTTAAATTCAAATTCGTCTTTTTATAATCAATAACATTGTAACATATTACTATTTTAATGTCTTAATAACTCATCAAGTCGCCAAAAAAAAAAAAAAACTTAAAATCAAAACAAAAGAAAGCGTTTAATATGCGCATGCGTTACTTTTCAGCCGCAGAAGCGTTTAGAGAGACTGAATTTTCCACAAACGCTCCGTTAAGCTTAACGGAGAGATGAGAATACGGCTGCAGTATATCATATTTTATTTGAGTTCCCCTTAAAAAGATTGTAATAATAAAAAAAAGATATAATAAAAAAAATATATTAAAATGTTTCAAACGTTAGTTTATTTGTTAATTGTCTTTATTATACTTAGAGTTTTCGAATGCATATTCCATACGGACGAATATCTTCGACACTGGGACTAATCCAGTATTCACCTACATCAGTGCGATTAGCTGGTATTTTTATCACTGTTGCAGGATTTACGCGGTTTTGTAGTATAACTGCATATTGCTTATTTTTATGCGAAAATTTGATGGCATATTTTTCTGCTACTTTAATATCTGGAGTTGAATAAACTCCTACCCCAAATGCAAATCTTTTTCCTTTTGTTAAATCATAGCCATCCATTGCAATAGATTTAGCTTGATTTTTACCAGTTCCATGGTATGACACAGCCCATTCTCCCGGAATATTGCTATTACCTAACCACGTTAAATTTTCATATTTATCGGACACTTTAATAGCAAAGCGCATCCATCCACATGGGCGAACATAGTTCATTCCACCTCGCTTAAAAGTTTTATTTTCATCTGTTACATTTGTAAAATCATAATCATATTGTGGATCTTGACTCGAGGGATCCAAAATATATTGAGTTAAATTATATCCTCCACCTCGCAATTTAAGTAATAGAAGTATAGTTGATTTATTTTGCATGTTATAATCAACTAGTTTTTTGTTATCTTCTAATTTGTTTGAAGCAAATATTAGGCTTTGATCAGATAGTGGTATACCTTCACTTTGCATTATCATAGTTTTGAGGTCATAAACAAGTGTTTCTTGATCAATATATTCAAATGTAATAGTTTTGCCGGTTAAAGTTTTGACGAATATATCTATATGCACTTTTTTTTCTTTAATGTTCTCTGAAGTTGAGCTGCCTACTTTACCATACAAACAATCATAATAGTTTATCCTTTGATGCTCAAACAAAGAAACTTTTTCAAATGGTTCTGTAGGAAGAATCATTCCCACCATTGAATTGGTGGGTGACTCCAATTTAATCTCATAAACTGCTGACATAGCAGCTGTTAATAGATCTTGATTGTTTTGACTAGTAGATCTTGATTGTGTTGCCGCCATTGAAATGTTCAAAAACTAGATATCTAGAAAATATTATTAAAAATATTAAATAACAAGTAAATGCGTAGTTATGATTTGAATATAAATAAAAAGTTTTCAAAAGCCTCTATAAAATTTTGTGTTCTTTATAAATTTATCATTTTTAGGAAACACTTATGTTGGAAAAGATAAAAAGTGAAAGAAAAGTATTTTTTTTATTTATAAGTTTATCATTGAGATGAGACCCATGTTGGAAACGCAAATTCTAAAGCGCAATTAATGTCACAATTTTAATAGCTCGTCTCATTAAGTCTAGCAAAAACCTAAAAGCATCTTGTTTTTAATAATTAATTCTTTTACAACGCACTATGCCTCATAGAGGTGAAAAAATGGCAAAAACTACCAACTTTTAACTGGTAGTTTTCCTAAAGAAAAAACCAACAGTTTACTTCGTACTTTTACATTATAAGCTGTTGTTTTATAAGTTAAACTTTTTTAATACCGTTAAAAGTTAATTGAAATATATTTTTTTATTTAATTAACAAAAGCCAAAAAACAAAAAAATATGACACAATTTAATAAAAGACAATAAAAACCTCATGTACAAAAAGAAAACAAAACAAAATTATATATAATAGCTGATTTGAAATAAAGTTATAAAATGAACTATTTCTTAAACTATTTTTTTTGATTGTTAATCAATGATAATTAAAATGATTAAGAGTTATTTTTTACACTGTTTAAGTTAACGATATCAAGAACAGAAAAAAGCAAAGCAGGCGGCTTGTTCGCATAAAAAAAATTAAAAAACATATATATACATATATATATATATATATATATATATATATATATATATATATATATATATATATATATATATATATATATATATATATATATATATATATATATATATATATATATATATATATATATATATATATATATATATATATATATATATATATATATATATATATACCCAGATAGCAAAGATATACTGGTCCGATAATCGCTAGCCTATGCCAGCGAATTCTTTAAAGGCCCGATAAAGTTCCGTTCGTGGATTGCCAGTTCTGGGAAGCCGTATAAGGTCTATTGCCGAGCCTTTATAAAAATGCCTGAGCTGGGTAGTCGCAAAAAATCGTTAATGGTTTAACAAAGATTTGCCGTAGCAGAACAACTGACATTGGGCAATTACTGGCCCATAAGTGGTAAAATCAAATTATTAATGATATAAACAAGACAAGGCCTTTTTAAGCGACATCTCATTTTTCGTAAAATTAGCGAAAGCCGACTTTTTTATGAATAAAATTATTTTTTATCTTTGCTTTCGAAAACAAACTTCAGAAACATATAAAGAATATTTGTTAAGACAAAACATTTTGATTAAATTTTGGGAGAAAATATTGTTGGAATTATTTTTACGTTTAGAAATAAGTTAATTACAACAAAGATTTAGAGGGTTCAAACTGAATTTAGTTAAAAATGACCTAACCTCTCTTTTATAACTTTATATTTATTGCAGCTGTTTAACACATGTAATTCAAATAATAATTTTTTTGATAAAAACAAACAAATATGTTAACTTTAAAAAAAAAAATGATTTGACTTTTTTGAATCAAAGTATATTATTTTAAAGTTAAAAGTTTTGCTTATTTTATTAAACATTCCTTCTTAAAATTTTCAAAGTGTTTTTCTCTTTTTTTAACAACTATTATTTAAAAAAATGTTTGTCAAAATGCAGTAAATTTTTTTAATACTTCAAAAAAGCAATTGAAAGTTAATAAAAATTCATGTCACATCAAATATAAAAAAACAATAAATAACAAAGTAAACTAAATTGTCACAAGGTTCTCTTAGCCTTCCCCTGATAAAAGAACTAATCAAAGCTCCATACTTTTGAAACATATCAAAGGTGTCTTCTTCCTCTAAAGTTTTAATAAAATTGTATAAATTGTAATTCTGGAAGTTTAAAAGCAATAAAACTTGCAATATATAAAAGCTCTTAATTGCATTCATTTGACAACTGATCTTCACAATTTTTAGATATCAAGTTCACACTCATAACAATGGTAGTTAACAGGAGAAAATATTGTAAGATCTGCTTGCTCATCTAGCAACTTTCTAGTTTTATCAATTTTAAAATTTTTGAATAAAACTTTGCACAGTTATCAGATATGTACCACCTGACCTTTTCCTATATTTCACAAACCGTTTTTCTAGTACATTTGATTGCATATGTTTTAACAATATATAAGATACACCGCAATTCAACAAATACTTTGCACAGCTTGCCAATCCTTAAGAAGCTTTTGCAAAGCACTCGCAGTATCCATAGTTAACTTTTTCACTCGTAATTTTGAATTGACTCATTCCAAATTTTCAGAAAATTAAGAAATATAGTTCTCAAAGAAATCTATTACCCAATCATTGACTGAATTTAAAGGCTTTTTCTGCATAACATTTAAACTAGCATCTAGATATTTTGCTTTACTTTACAATAAGCCATCTCTTGACAACTATTTCAATGAAAAGTGTTGTATCTTCAGCTTCAGGAAATTCAACATGTAATGTTGTAACTGTTTCATCACAAAAAACTTAAAGAACTAATCTAACATTTTATTGGTCAATTGGTTTTGGTGGGACTGCTTTTTGTGTACTGTATTACTGTAACCCAGGTTTTATGTCCACCTTATCAGCCAAGACAAAGCAGTATTTTCGAAATTCCTGAAACATAACTATCATTTTTAAATATTCAGTATCTTCAAGTTTATTGACTTTGTTTTTCATTTGTTGTAACTCGTACGCTTGGCAAAACAAGCTTCTTTACAAGATCAAAATATACTAATCAAGATTTTGAATAAAGATGCAATGCATCTGAAATGCCTTTTATAGAAAATATTGTTTTATTTAATATAGCTTTTTGATGCCTAATATAACTTGCTCGCTTAGAATCTGTTTCATTATTAATACTATAACTAACTGCATTCTCTAGTTGAGAATTCTATTTAGTAGTTTCCTTGTTAAAAAAAAACAATTTACGTTGCAAAAGTTGATTAAATCCAGTAGAATAAATATCTCTAAAATCATCTAAAGTTATATATATTAAAAAATTATGTAGTAGTCCACAATGTTTATATTATATTAGATATCTTTTTTTTTCAACAAAATATAAAGTTCCTTCGCAGTGATTTGTCGTTGATTTCAATTTTTTTAAAACTAAATTAAATTAAATAGCGTCCATTTTTTTAAAGTTTTTGAACTCATTATGCAAACTATTTCTTTCAGAGCACATAAACCCTGTGATATCTCGCTTTCTAGACACTAATTGAATACAAGACACTGGTAAACTTTTAAAGATTGACGGAAGATACATTGGAAAAAAACTACCAACTTTGACTTTTTTAATTCTACATCATTAGATCAGTGCTGAAGACAAATTCGCTTATAGTCTGAAAACAAAAAGTTTGCGTTTGATCCTCGGATTTAAAAGTAAATCTATAAATTGTGACATAAACATTATCTTTTATTTGTAATTAGAGGAGCAACCATAAACACAACATTTATTAGGCATTTTACGAGTTAAACTATATATAAGTATATATACATATATATATATATATATATATATATATATATATATATATATATATATATATATATATATATATATATATATATATATATATATATATATATATATATATATATATCCCAGCCGGCATTATTACGTTGTTTCAACGTTGAAATTCGGTTGAAGCGTTGTTTCAACGTTGTTTAACTATGTCACAACGTTAAATCAACGTTACCGTTTAAACGTTGATTATTTAACGTTATTTCAACGTTAAATCAACGTTACAGTTTAAACGTTGATTATTTAACGTTATTTCAACGTCATTATTTCAATCATTGTCGACAAAAAGAACGATATAAAATTTATGCGCGCGCAGAAATGGAAGTAAAATCGTAAAAATTATTTCAACGATTAAAGTTATAGAGATTTATAATGGAAAAAAATGTAAATACTGAACTTATATCATATAGAATTTTCAAGAGATCGAAAACATGTTCAGACGATTTTCCTGAAAGAACATTATCGTTTAAAAATCGATGTTTTTCGTTTAACTTGGGCTACAATGCTCAAAGACTGATATTATTAAATGTAAATATAATACAGCTTTTTCAAAAAATGATCCATTAAATTATGTTGAATTTAATGCTAAGCGTTGTTTTTTAATAGAGCATCAAGAATTAAAAAAGGAAATTGATAACTTTAAAAAAGAACTTCAGCACGAAATAAAAAAATAAAGATTTATTTGAAAAATTAACTTCAACCACATCAGTTATTACTATGAAAACAGACAAACTTGTGTATAAACATAATCCAAACAAATCGTGTTATTGCAATTTACTTGTATACAAACATTTATTTTAAAAATAATAGATCTTGCGACTTTTATACTGGCCTTACATCTGTCAATGTGTTTCATCAGTTAGTGCAGTATCACCATTAATCATAAAAGATAAAGTGATATTAAAAAAACATTTACTTCTATTTTTTGAAATTTAAAAAAATCATTAACTACTTGGACCAAAATAAATGTAATGCAGCAAAGATGAATTTTTAATGATGCTAATACTTGGATTATTGACAGCTGATTTTGCTGACAGGTTTAATATATTTTTTAGGATTAGCGAATGCAATATTTTTTTCATTGTTGAAAGCTTCTAGCTCACTTTTAAACCACGTGGTTTTTGTTCCAAGTAAAGATGTTATAAGACAGGCAATGCAAAACAGATTTTAGAAATTAAATTATTCAAACTAACACTAAATTTCAGATATAACAGAATTTATTATGGAAACACCTTAAAATTTTGACTTACAGAAACTAACAGGGAATGAATACAAACATTACAACAATATAAAAACATTAGTACCCGTAGCTCCAAATTAATCAATAATTTTTTTCAAAAATTTCTAAAGCTTACAGAAGCTAAATTTTGGATAAAAAAATTACATATCGCAACAACTATTTAG